TTTTCCATTTTTACGAAAACCACAGAGGCGTCTTGTTCAGCGTGCTGTCAAACCTACACTAGCAAGGAGATCGGGCTGAAACTATAGCTACAAGCTATCCAAGGATGGTACTATAGAATGTCACCTCAAGGTAGGCCTAGTGGCGTCATCTCTTGGTTAGGCCGGAAACTTATCAATCCACCCTCGTAGATTTCTGTACCCAGAAGTGCCATCCACGTAGTGATTACCTTTCAACCTTAAGGAATCATCAATACATGTGATACAAAAGTTGTGCAGGTTTTTGAAAGTTCTTTCAAAAATTCCAATTTACTTAAAAAATTATTGAATACAACTTTTAATGTTTTAATACATTGCTTAGCATCACAAAAATACTGAAGTTACTTCTTATTCGCGTTGTTGTTGTTGTCGTTGTTGTGCTCTTCCTTTCGTTCTAACTTTAACGATAAGGAAGCCGTTAATCTGTACATTACCTATATAAATGTGGAAAACTTCTGGTTCCGCACGTTAGTGAAGCAAATCGGTTAATCTACAGATTAGCTAGATAGATAATGTGCACATTAACGTCTTTCAAGCTTTAGCGGAAATATAAACATGATTTTAATATAAATAGATAATACGGATGTTCACTCATCGATTTTTGCACTTTAACCATTAATATGATTGTGAACAAACTTTAGTGAGTTGTAGTTCATACTCTAAAGGTCTACCAGGTTTTTATTCCTGCCCGATACCCGGGCAACGCTCTTGTTTCTCCTTCGATGAGAATATCAATGGAGTCGTTTATTATTTAACATATTGGTCACATTATACAGCGTTTCTGTTATGCGACGTTCATACTATCGCGAGTCTGTTGTATATTTTGCCATCAAGATTCTTTGTTAGAGTTGATTGCAAAACTAATCGAAATTTAAAGGTTGAATATCATTAAAAAAAGAAACTTTGCACACACGTTTTGACCTGTACTTGCCTGTTTTTTCTTATTGTTAATACAGTAATTAATTTTAAGGCGTTACTTTAAAATAGGCGTACAAGGAATTCTTTAAAAGAGGCGTGTAATTGATATTACGAAAGATAATGTGGAAAAAAAAGGAATTGAAATTGTTCGCACCGCAAAAATGATGTACATGCCCTACGAGTTTAATTATTTACTTATTGTTGTAGTAATGAAAAAGGCGCGCAACTGTTATCCTGACAAGGATAAAGAAGTGTTTCAACACTGGTTTTATTGCCAATTATTATTAATGTTACGTTTATTTTTAACTGGAATTAAAGACCCAACTGTAATAATATTGTCACTTCAAACTTTTCAGCTAATTGCTTTCTTACATAAACAACGGCTTTTGGAACATTATTAATATTTTAACATTTATTTTCAAACTTTCGAAATGTATTCAACGATCCATTTGTGGGACAACAGCGCACATATAAACTATGCAGGTATTTGAACTAGTCAATGCTCATACCCTAAAATTACTAATTTGATATCGTTTAATAGTAATTACGGTGATTCTATGTACTGTGAATGCGATGAGTAATTCCAGTAATTTTTATGTAGGTAGAAACTATTAATTCTTGCAAAATCATTTTCTTAATATGCTGATATCCGTTCTCATTGAATGCCTTCAGTATAGCCGACTTCTTTGTATTTTATAATTACAAATTAACACAGCAAAATCGGGTATAGTGACACCGAAAGTATTCGGCTGCTATAGGGGATTTTATGAACGAATGCATACGCAGAATTCGTATTCCGGATGTAACAGTTTTCCAACGTACCTACAGCCGAATTTTGTTAGTTGCCTTTTATTAGGGAAATCCATGGTAATAATGAACTTTGTACAGACCATTTAAATATTGGACGCTACAAGAGAAAACGTCACACATGAAAGTTTTTACCCGATGTATTAAGTACAAAACTACCGAAGAGTTTGACTAGCGTGTTGTCATTATATCCGAATTTTAAAGTTTATAGGTTGCTAAAACCATATTGGACGTTATATGAGAAAAAGTTACAAACGAAAATTTTTCGTTAACAAATATTGACATTTCGAACCCCTAAAGCATACAAATAAACAAATAAATAAATTTTATAAAATTTACAAATAAATAAATTTTATAATACCTATTGGAATATTTGCAGGTATTACACTTGACTAGCTTCAAATTTATTCTTCCTTGATCTGTATCACATTGTACAAAACAGAATTAATGCCTAAGGCAGTATTTATTGCAGTTAATCGTCCAACGCATAACTTATAAGGCGTTAAATGTTGCATAATATCCTTGGGAAACTATGCCTTTCCCAATTTTATAAAAATTCGAAGTCACTATGCATTTTAAAAACTAGAGAAAATCTAGATGAGTTTTATCCAGTACGTTTAGTTTATTAGTTTTCACTTTTAAATTAGTTTAATTTTGTGCATTTATTCCAATTTGTTACATAACAAATCTACTTCCTTATCATTAGCACGTGCACTTATATCTCTTAAAATTGGTATTTATCATATCAATTTATTAATTCAGTAACCTGATATAAAAAAATATTTCGATAATTTTTGAGCGTACGTATGACTTTTAGTTTTCTTCTTTGTTTTTATTTTACATTGAAAGTAACGATTCTTGTGACAATGTTCTACCTTAATTATAATAATTGAGTTTTGGATAAAGTTATGACCTGAAGCTATCGTAACAGTCCTAATTGCCTAATTCGTTAAGACAAACTAGTGTATCATCAGACTTTCCCTCTGGTGAACAGTGAATTCTGATTACCGAAAAATCCATTCACGGACTCATTAAAACCTTAATGTGGTTCTACTTAAATATTCCAAATAAGTACAGATAGCATTTTGTTTCAAAACTACGTAAATACTAAGAAGACAAATACCGAAATTATTAAAATTACTTTGTAGAAACCACTTTTTTGAATGGTACAGGACTACATTTACTTACATCGTGTATATAATACCTAGGGATAATATATATAAGTTAAACTAATTAATATATGTATTTGGATTTCATTATTTAATATTGCATTCGTGAAATTAATAAATGACGCGTATCAATCATTCGCGATGATGGGGCCGGAAATGATAAGAAAAGTCTATTACAAAATTGACATTAAGAGACCTAACAACCTTTCTTTAAACGTGTCATACATCAGTTGATATGAAATTACACACCAGGGAAGTAGATACATTGCAATTCGAATTGTACATATGTATGTAATTAGTCCATTTTTATTGAAGACGAAAAGGATGTGGTAGGTACTTAGAGATTACACTTCGAATTTCTTCACTTTCGCGAGATATTGAAAATAGTTGCTTTCTCGTTAATAATAAGATAACGTTATGTAAATTTGTCTTGGCTATAATATGACTTTTGTTAACAGGTTGTTTCGTAAGTATTCAGACGTATGCAAGTGGGACATCGTAGTGATAGGAATTACTGTAAAAGATATGCTAAATTAACCCATTACAAATACGTATGTCATCCTCGAATTACCTTTGTATGATTATATCCAAATTGGCCTATTGTCTGACCTCTCTAATAAGACTTTTCCTTCTTCAAACGTGTCCACTTTCATTCGACTTTTAGCTTACAATGAAATACTTCTCTGACATTCTCCTTTTTATTAATACTTTAATAATTAATATAACCGATAAATTTAACTCTACTAATTAACTAATAGGTACTTTCTTAATTTATCTGTGGCAGTTGGTACATTAAACTCGCCATGTATAAGAGAAATTAGAAATATATATTAAAAAAATAACTGTATATCCGTATAATTTAAATGGTGAGGGAAAGTTACCATTCCTTACTGTACATAATACTTATGTATATTCGTTATACTTATTGTGCAGGTAGTTATAGAAAACAATTAAACAATAACGTATTATATTATGTATATATGTTTTTTAATGGTTTTATNTACGCTCACCTTTCAATGATATCCTTACAGGAAACATTATTAAATTACCTAAAAACAACTTTTAAACAATAAATTAAAACGAAAAATACTCGAAAAGGGATGAGTCGGTGAATTTTTGAATTAAGGTTAAGGTAGTTTTGACGTTTCTCTATTTACTGATTTGGAATTGGCTACCATTACAAGAACAGGGACTTTGGATGTGTCTCAAATGCATAAACTTACGCTACATTTAAACTGTAGAAAAACAAAATGGCCGTGCATACTTTTAAGGAATGTCAATATTTAAATAAATATAAAATATCCGCTGTTTTTGTTTAATCGTAAAAGAATTATAATCACCCAGAACGATTTAATTTACTCTTTAATTACATGTATCTTCAGGATAATGAAGTTTAGATATAACATCACGCAGTTTTTGGTCATTTCTTGGACCCCTTTTACCCTTTTGTCATGCATGTCTTATGCATTCCCTCCCCTCATGTCAAGGCATCCTGTTATTTGTACTTTGTTGTTGTTAGTGGTTGATTATTACTTTATCTCCGAGACCTTCTTTCCCCATTACCCTTTTTCATCTCTGTAGGTACTTCAAGACTCCCTCTCCCCTCTTAACGTGACGTGATGCTTTAAAAGCGACCACTTTTTTTTCTAATGGAAAGTTTGTTACTGATTACCTACACATAATTTAATGAGATTCTAATGTTGAAATTAGGCTTCGTTATGTGATTTTAGGTGAGTCCGCCATCGTCGAAAGAATATGTTAATATTTTACGAAAAAAAGTGTGTTAGTAGGGGAAGAATACATGATTTGCAATTTAATGGTCAACTCTAATTTGTAGATTTCTCCAAACACATTTGAATGAACTGTGAATATATGGCCCAAATGTAAATATTTCGAGAGAATTGTTAAACTTTTACATTGGCTCATATAATACACCTAAGTCACTTTTAATGGAGAAATTATGTCACGAACTTTAAATACGTATATTTGCTTCTGTTATTCTTACATGATTATACTATTAAAAAGGTAACGCGCTTATTGCCTAATAAAAACTTTTAAACCGATGCCTAAGTTTATTTTTATTAAAATAAAAATGTAGAACGAATAACTATTTAATATTATGTCTGTATGATGAATTGTTTTCTGTCTGGATTGTGTATTAAAACGATAATGAGAAATTAGTGAAAGGTACCGGACTTCGTCCTTGAATATAAGGACGATACGGTTGAGTACCTACAGTAAAAGATGAGGTGTTATTTATTTTTGAGAAGATCTGGATGGTCAGTAATGAGGTGTTTATGGTGTTTTGAGAACCATGTACAGATTAAAATACCTATAGGTACCCATACCGACACCGTTATGTGATTGGTGTATAGACTAGGTCACCGATTCTCCAGTTGGTTCCGTATACTCAAGAACTCAAGAAGTCCACTCTTAGTCAGTTCGAAAGTGCGTGGCCACACGTGATTATAAAATTTACGTGTGCTTTTGATAGTGCATTTCCTCTAGGATATAAACATAAACCATGAAGTGCATAGCGCTTCTGTTTTTAATTGCCGTATTGGGTGAGTACCATTTTTTCGTTTTCATCATCGAACACAAATTCCTGTCCGTACATGTACATAAATAATTGAAATTCTTTCCTCTATCTTTAGTGGTTATTTTCGTGCAATGGGCATGTACCTATAACATTTTGTAAAATAAATTCCTCAAGAGAAAAACCTTTTTGCATGTACCTACTGGTAGCCCTTTTTTTTGAGCTTCTTTTTCCAATTTTTCTAAATTATTGCCCATAATCTACTAACTTTAAATATTACGAACAAAAATACCAACAATAAGATACTTTTAGGGACTACATAACCAGCACATTATCATCTAGGTCAGTAGGTCTTCACTGCGGATTTCCAAATCAAGTTCAAGGACGCAAAAAATATCGCGCTTTTACTTCTCGACTGTTATTTATTAGAGTTCCCGTCTAATTACTACAGTTATCGAACAATGTACTAAAAATTCAACAAAGGGGACATTTTTAAAGTTACGTAATATTAAATTTTATACACTTTTAATTGATTATAATAAATTAAAATAGAAAAAACTTTCGAAAGACCAACTATACAGCAGTTGTTTTTATTTGGGGACCAAACTTGTCACTCACTCATAAATCCAACAAATAATTCAATGAACCGTACGAAAGATGATAATTGACGATAATTCCTTTATTTATTAGGTTTTTTGTTTTACACTGTGGAGACCGAAATTATTAAAACATTACCGTTAAATGTGTTATCAATAAGTTAGAGTCCTACGACAAAAAGAGATCGCGTTTGGGTTGTTAAGCGAAGAAATGCTTAACAACCTTATCAAAAATGTTATTATACATTTAGCCCTTATTGGTTGCAGGGCATTGTTGGCGTCTTGGTCATGCCACCTGCGTACTGGAGTCGGATTTCGGGTTTGTCATCAACTGTGCTTTTAAGAAATCTGGACTATTTCGAGTTAGAAACCTTGGTGGTATCAAAGCCCATGTAGGCTTGGGTAAATTATCTTTCCTTACTAAACGCGAACGATCACTTAATTAATACCTATTACCATTCACATTTCACTTAACAATTTTTACATATCATTCATCACGGACCTACGTATAGTTATGTTTTATTAATCTTTTCAACAACTCTCATTAACGAAAAGATAAAATCAGTACACTGGTTCTGTCACCTTAACCTTGTCAAAAACAAATGTTGGCTGGCTTTTTTCTAAGGTTAATGCTAAAAGCGTATCATTAGCGTTTATGTTACATCAAGTCGTATGTATCTGAAAAAATATATTTCTTTCTTCCTCCTAAAAAAGGGTGTTACAATTTTCTTTTAAATTAAAAACATTAATTGCACAAGCCTACATTGCAGTACTATTCCTTTTTAATTCTGTTACATAGTTTTGGTACCGGGTGTTTTGCGTGGTCTACAGGGGACAAAAAAAGGTACCCTCGTTTTTTTTTCTAATTCAACCGAAATAAGAATTGATGTCTCGTTTGTGACTGATATTGTGAAAGAATGAAATTAGCAACATTTAGTAATTATTGCATAAGTTAATCTGCATGGGCATCATCATTTCTTTATTTATTTACGTATTTATTTATTCATATATAATAGCGTAACACAAAATTCAACACAAATGAATCCTTTCGTAATGTCTACCGACTTTAATGTAACAAGTTCGTTACAAATCGACCATATTTTATTGTAAAAAATGCCATTTACAAATAAACTCGCCATGTATAAGAGAAATTAGAAATATATATTAAAAAAATAACTGTATATCCGTATAATTTAAATGGTGAGGGAAAGTTACCATTCCTTACTGTACATAATACTTATGTATATTCGTTATACTTATTGTGCAGGTAGTTATAGAAAACAATTAAACAATAACGTATTATATTATGTATATATGTTTTTTAATGGTTTTATGAAGACTTTCAGAGTCGTTACTAACTTTACTAACTACATATTATACATATTAGTAACTGACATGAAGGCGTTAGTTGATTAATATGTCTAGTTCTCTATAAAAGCTTTTCTTTTTATTATTTTTTATTTGTTAATACAAAAACCTAAAAATTATCATTTGTTTGCTATAAGATGCAGAATTTTATTTAAAAGGATATTTTTGGTCCTAAAGTGCTACTAGCTGGTTACAAAGGACTTGTGGACAGGTGCCAAATGTAGGTACTAAGTTAAATTCTTACCAAAAAAATGGCGAATGTTTACATTACATCATATCGTACCTAGGTACAATATATGACTAATCAATTAGTTTGAATAATTTATAGGTTTCAATCAGTTTTTGATTGTGAAAAAATTAACCATTTGTAATATGTCATTCAAACGTTGAATTTCTTAATCGCATGGATGGCAATAATTTATTCATAGATTCTAATTGATTAAAGGGGACATAAAGATTTTATTAATTGCTTGTAAACTTTTTACTTCCCGCAATTAAACAGTCATTTTTTATTTAAAAGAATATCACAAAGAAAAGAGAACTTTTACTTCACAAAAGATTAACTTAAAATTTGAATTAATAATGCTTAATTTGTGTGACATCGTTTTAGGTGTATGTTTAGAAAATGTAGACAAATCTTATTAAGATGGTTTTAACAGTTTACACTGTTACATAATTATCTGTTAAATAATCAGAAATCATGTAATGAAGAAAATGAAAGTTGATGTAAAGCTGTATTTCTAAAAATTGTCAAAACGATTGATCCTTGACGTATATAAATAGTAATTTTGCTTCAGTCACGAAACTCATTTGATCATCATTATCATTGGTGGTGGAAGTTTTATTAATTACCCTTAATTTTCCTTTTAATTGTCCCTTTCTCATTAACACCAAAGACAAGGCGAACTAAACCCAAATGGATTGATTTCGAACTTAATTTATAGATAATTCTTTTACGTTTTCTACGAATTAGGTTACTACTAATCATATTTTAGGGTTCAGCCTTGGCGATGAACTAGGATTCAAGGAATCCTTGTCGAATGTTGAAAATAACAGGAGAAGATCAGCTGAAGGATCAAAATTTCAAGCGACCATAGTCCAATCTCAACAAGCAAACGCTGTAGGTTTGTTGTAAAATCGAATAAATTATTTTGGAGTACTAGGCCTACCGCGCATTGCGACATTTTAATAGCGCAGTACATTGTGGTTGTCAAATATGTTATACTATGTATTGCAAACGAAGAAGAAACGTCACATAGTGTTTTGGATACGGAAAAAATTATATCTGAAATTGAAAAAAAGAAAATTGCGGTTTTACTAATCTCTGATTTATGATAAGATGGAACCAATGTTGTTTCTTCTGCTTCCTTTTAGTATTATTCGCAATAACAATACCACAATACACGTTCTTTCTGTTACGCTCATATTGCAAATGACTAAAAGCAAATGCGTGCATCGGATTTACTTCCTGCGACTCCTGCGACCGCGACTTTTCGGTCGCAGCGATTAAAAAATCGCAGTGCGCACTAGGTCTTATAGAACTGAAAAGAGCGAGCAGAAAATAAAGTGAATGTATATAAAATAATCTCGGGTTTTATAGAAAATTCAAGGATTTCTTTTCTTTCAATATTATCGACAGTAAATAATCGTTTTGTGGTGTATTAACTAATTAATTAAGGGAATTTCATGTTAATCTCAAAATAAACCTGGATAACATGCTTCTGATAAAGAAAGACACTTGCGTTTGTATTTTTATCTTATTGTTTTACAATTACAATATACGTATAAGTCGCCTTTTTAATTAGTTAACAATAATTAATTAATAGCGTTTTCACTGCGTGTGCATTTACCACGTCCTCGCAGTTTTTTTTGTTGTCTTATTTTACATAATAGTTGAATTGTTTTACGTCCTTTAAAAATCCTTGAACTTTACACGATAGAGACAGCTTACAATCTATTCTTACAGGGCAAAGCCGTAACAGCTCGAGCCACTTCGAACAATCAAACCAGAAGTGCCCCTGGTAAACAACTGAATTTAGCAGCTGTAATGCCTACTAAAGTCCCTGTAAATATTCCCCAGTTCAAACCCATTCCCCCGGCTCCTGAACGTCCTGTATATTCTTCGGTGAATAGTACTAGACGTGTAGGTAACGAAATCGACTCAAATTTGGATAATGCTCAGCCAGCTTCTGCTTCTAAACCTAGGCCTTTTGGCTTACCCGATCAGCCCTTTAAATCTCAAAAGGACGACGGAAAACTGAGTAGTACAAACCTTTCCTTGAGGACGTTACCTTCTCCTTCAAATAACGAAGTTTCTTCTTATTCCAAAGTTCCTCTTAATCCCATTCAAGTGCTAAGTGGCGTTACTAATATTTCCGCCGAAGTATTAGAAGCGGCAATCTTGATGCGCGAACGTGAGCTACTTAGGCAGAAAAGTTCGACTACTTATAAACCACCTCATACACCTGTCAGGCATATCACATCTTCGAATAAAGTTATGAACGCACCGAAAGAATATTATCCTGCTGGATACGATAAGAATTTTGACGACAATTTCGCCTCGAGAGTTGACCTTCCGGAAACGTCTTTCTATTGCGGTGACCAGAAACATTTCCCAGGGTTATACGCCGACGAAGATCTCGGATGTATGGTAAGTTCACAATAATATGTAGAAATATTGGATACAAGAACTGCTGTGGATTTATAGGCACATTTGGCCCACACTGTTCAAAGTTAAATTTATTCTAGTCTTATAAATGTATATAAATCAGTTATTTTGCATATTATCTAGGTAATGTGCAGATTACCAAGGGCTACATGTTATTTCATTATTTAAAATACTTACATAATCTGCACATTCTCTAGATAATCTGGACATTGTCTAATTAATGTGCACATTACCTAGATAATCTCCACATTACCAGGCAGTCGGTAAAGTGAAAATAAGATCGGATATACGAGGGTGGATTGATAAGTTTCCGGCCTGACCAAGAAAAACAAGGTTTTTAAAAATTTTTTTTTTTTTATTTCTCAACTAATCTCCTCCAAGGCTGATACATTTCTCATAGCGGTGTTCCNGGCTGAAACTATAGCTACAAGCTATCCAAGGATGGTACTATAGAATGTCACCTCAAGGTAGGCCTAGTGGCGTCATCTCTTGGTTAGGCCGGAAACTTATCAATCCACCCTCGTAGATTTCTGTACCCAGAAGTGCCATCCACGTAGTGATTACCTTTCAACCTTAAGGAATCATCAATACATGTGATACAAAAGTTGTGCAGGTTTTTGAAAGTTCTTTCAAAAATTCCAATTTACTTAAAAAATTATTGAATACAACTTTTAATGTTTTAATACATTGCTTAGCATCACAAAAATACTGAAGTTACTTCTTATTCGCGTTGTTGTTGTTGTCGTTGTTGTGCTCTTCCTTTCGTTCTAACTTTAACGATAAGGAAGCCGTTAATCTGTACATTACCTATATAAATGTGGAAAACTTCTGGTTCCGCACGTTAGTGAAGCAAATCGGTTAATCTACAGATTAGCTAGATAGATAATGTGCACATTAACGTCTTTCAAGCTTTAGCGGAAATATAAACATGATTTTAATATAAATAGATAATACGGATGTTCACTCATCGATTTTTGCACTTTAACCATTAATATGATTGTGAACAAACTTTAGTGAGTTGTAGTTCATACTCTAAAGGTCTACCAGGTTTTTATTCCTGCCCGATACCCGGGCAACGCTCTTGTTTCTCCTTCGATGAGAATATCAATGGAGTCGTTTATTATTTAACATATTGGTCACATTATACAGCGTTTCTGTTATGCGACGTTCATACTATCGCGAGTCTGTTGTATATTTTGCCATCAAGATTCTTTGTTAGAGTTGATTGCAAAACTAATCGAAATTTAAAGGTTGAATATCATTAAAAAAAGAAACTTTGCACACACGTTTTGACCTGTACTTGCCTGTTTTTTCTTATTGTTAATACAGTAATTAATTTTAAGGCGTTACTTTAAAATAGGCGTACAAGGAATTCTTTAAAAGAGGCGTGTAATTGATATTACGAAAGATAATGTGGAAAAAAAAGGAATTGAAATTGTTCGCACCGCAAAAATGATGTACATGCCCTACGAGTTTAATTATTTACTTATTGTTGTAGTAATGAAAAAGGCGCGCAACTGTTATCCTGACAAGGATAAAGAAGTGTTTCAACACTGGTTTTATTGCCAATTATTATTAATGTTACGTTTATTTTTAACTGGAATTAAAGACCCAACTGTAATAATATTGTCACTTCAAACTTTTCAGCTAATTGCTTTCTTACATAAACAACGGCTTTTGGAACATTATTAATATTTTAACATTTATTTTCAAACTTTCGAAATGTATTCAACGATCCATTTGTGGGACAACAGCGCACATATAAACTATGCAGGTATTTGAACTAGTCAATGCTCATACCCTAAAATTACTAATTTGATATCGTTTAATAGTAATTACGGTGATTCTATGTACTGTGAATGCGATGAGTAATTCCAGTAATTTTTATGTAGGTAGAAACTATTAATTCTTGCAAAATCATTTTCTTAATATGCTGATATCCGTTCTCATTGAATGCCTTCAGTATAGCCGACTTCTTTGTATTTTATAATTACAAATTAACACAGCAAAATCGGGTATAGTGACACCGAAAGTATTCGGCTGCTATAGGGGATTTTATGAACGAATGCATACGCAGAATTCGTATTCCGGATGTAACAGTTTTCCAACGTACCTACAGCCGAATTTTGTTAGTTGCCTTTTATTAGGGAAATCCATGGTAATAATGAACTTTGTACAGACCATTTAAATATTGGACGCTACAAGAGAAAACGTCACACATGAAAGTTTTTACCCGATGTATTAAGTACAAAACTACCGAAGAGTTTGACTAGCGTGTTGTCATTATATCCGAATTTTAAAGTTTATAGGTTGCTAAAACCATATTGGACGTTATATGAGAAAAAGTTACAAACGAAAATTTTTCGTTAACAAATATTGACATTTCGAACCCCTAAAGCATACAAATAAACAAATAAATAAATTTTATAAAATTTACAAATAAATAAATTTTATAATACCTATTGGAATATTTGCAGGTATTACACTTGACTAGCTTCAAATTTATTCTTCCTTGATCTGTATCACATTGTACAAAACAGAATTAATGCCTAAGGCAGTATTTATTGCAGTTAATCGTCCAACGCATAACTTATAAGGCGTTAAATGTTGCATAATATCCTTGGGAAACTATGCCTTTCCCAATTTTATAAAAATTCGAAGTCACTATGCATTTTAAAAACTAGAGAAAATCTAGATGAGTTTTATCCAGTACGTTTAGTTTATTAGTTTTCACTTTTAAATTAGTTTAATTTTGTGCATTTATTCCAATTTGTTACATAACAAATCTACTTCCTTATCATTAGCACGTGCACTTATATCTCTTAAAATTGGTATTTATCATATCAATTTATTAATTCAGTAACCTGATATAAAAAAATATTTCGATAATTTTTGAGCGTACGTATGACTTTTAGTTTTCTTCTTTGTTTTTATTTTACATTGAAAGTAACGATTCTTGTGACAATGTTCTACCTTAATTATAATAATTGAGTTTTGGATAAAGTTATGACCTGAAGCTATCGTAACAGTCCTAATTGCCTAATTCGTTAAGACAAACTAGTGTATCATCAGACTTTCCCTCTGGTGAACAGTGAATTCTGATTACCGAAAAATCCATTCACGGACTCATTAAAACCTTAATGTGGTTCTACTTAAATATTCCAAATAAGTACAGATAGCATTTTGTTTCAAAACTACGTAAATACTAAGAAGACAAATACCGAAATTATTAAAATTACTTTGTAGAAACCACTTTTTTGAATGGTACAGGACTACATTTACTTACATCGTGTATATAATACCTAGGGATAATATATATAAGTTAAACTAATTAATATATGTATTTGGATTTCATTATTTAATATTGCATTCGTGAAATTAATAAATGACGCGTATCAATCATTCGCGATGATGGGGCCGGAAATGATAAGAAAAGTCTATTACAAAATTGACATTAAGAGACCTAACAACCTTTCTTTAAACGTGTCATACATCAGTTGATATGAAATTACACACCAGGGAAGTAGATACATTGCAATTCGAATTGTACATATGTATGTAATTAGTCCATTTTTATTGAAGACGAAAAGGATGTGGTAGGTACTTAGAGATTACACTTCGAATTTCTTCACTTTCGCGAGATATTGAAAATAGTTGCTTTCTCGTTAATAATAAGATAACGTTATGTAAATTTGTCTTGGCTATAATATGACTTTTGTTAACAGGTTGTTTCGTAAGTATTCAGACGTATGCAAGTGGGACATCGTAGTGATAGGAATTACTGTAAAAGATATGCTAAATTAACCCATTACAAATACGTATGTCATCCTCGAATTACCTTTGTATGATTATATCCAAATTGGCCTATTGTCTGACCTCTCTAATAAGACTTTTCCTTCTTCAAACGTGTCCACTTTCATTCGACTTTTAGCTTACAATGAAATACTTCTCTGACATTCTCCTTTTTATTAATACTTTAATAATTAATATAACCGATAAATTTAACTCTACTAATTAACTAATAGGTACTTTCTTAATTTATCTGTGGCAGTTGGTACATTACGTCACAGGGCATGAGATTGACTATTCTGTGGATTTTTAGAAATTAGTTTGGATTCGATTGGGCGAATTGGGTTTAGATTGATTATTCTGTGGATTTTTAGAAATTGTTTTGGATTCGATTGGGTGAATTGAGTTCAGATTGACTATTCTGTGGATTTTTAGAAATTAGTTTGGATTAGATTAGGCGAATTGGGTTCAGATTGACTATTCTGTCGATTTTTAGAAATTAGTTCGGAATCTATTGGGCGAATTGGGTTCAGGTTGACTATTCTGTGTATTATTAGAAATTAGTTTGGATTCGATTTGAGAAAATTAGGTTCAGGTTGACTATTCTGTGGATTTTTAGAAATTAGTTTGGATTCCATTGGGCGAATTGGGTTCAGATTGACTATTCTCTGGATATTTAGAAATTAGTTCAGATTCGATTGGGCAAATTGGGTTCAAATTGACTACACTATAGATCTTTAGAAATTAGTTCGGATTCGATTGGGCGAATTGGATTCAATTTGAATATTTATTGCAAAGGTCAAAATCGTCCACTTGCATAGTCGTCACTGTCTCGTATATCTTACTTACAATTATTAGTTAAACGTACCAGTTAGGTAAATATTGGTCAATTCGTTCATGTAGAGTTTGCAAAATCTAAATGGTTAACACTGAATTTTAATTCTCGTAATAATGACAGGCTATTACCACTTTAAATACACGCAAACATTGTTACTTACATATTGCCTACATACATAAATATATTTTATAACCGAAACAGAATAATAGATACAACAGGTGTTTTATGTTTCAACCATATGATTTAATGAGTGAAGTAATAAAAAATTTTATATAATTTATAGGCCTCAATCATACAATTGTTATGAAAAGTTCGTTTGTGAAATAATTTCAATATTTCTTATGTGTATACAGGG